ATTGATGGTCCTAACAGACTTACTACTAATTTTAAAGTTATACAACTTCTCAAACACATAAATTGGACAATTAGTTCTAATCCAAATACAACTATACCTTCCACTATTCAAGAGGAGTCAATTACTCTCAAATCCATCCTGTCACCACACCCTAACTTAAACATCATTTGGTTCATGAATGTCCAAGAAATTTGGCAAATAATTTAGTAACTGAAAATAAAATGTTTATTGAAAATCAAGAAAAAACATTGAATACAGTAGTCTGGTTGGGTTTAGGAAATCTTGAATAAAATCTTTTCATGAAAGAATAATGATAAAGTAATAATGCATTGCTGCCGATTCTGTTCAAGCCTCAAAATTTAAATTATTTGTTTTTTAGTACTCCGACTTATTAATTAAAAAAATGTACCCTAAAATTAAATATCAAATTTTGGGTGAATATAATCGACAGCAATGATATGTATCGATATTTATATAGACATATATAAAGGTACAGCATGAAAAATGGAGTTACGACTCATAGAAAGTTACAACTCGGGTATTTTATCTTTTTTTTTTTGATCGGATTAGCAGATCAAGAATGACCAAAATTTGAACTTACTGATTGGCCTCTTTATTCGAAATCTTAAGTACTTCTTCATAGATTTTTTCCGTGAACTAAAAATAATGTATTAATTTAATTAAGCAATAGAATGAAATAAAAATAGCAAAAATACTGACATCAAGAAGTGGTTTCACAAAATTGGGTTGAGAATTTTCTGTTGACTTTCGAACTTCATTAATATACTGTTTAGCTTCTTCATCTGCCAGATTAATCTTAAGCAATGCGAGATGAAGTTTTGCAAAGTTACGCCACATCTCCAATTTTGATTCAACAGACATATTTTGGGGATAGTGTGGTGTACCTAGATGTTTAGGAATAATTTTTGCTAATCTTTCTCCAAGTTCAATATATCTTGTCTGCATTTTGTCCGGTTTTGGTGCATCAAACGAAATGCTGCAAACCTTGTTGAAAGCTTTTTTAAGAATAACACCATTTTTGCGTTTATAAAATTCCTTGATCTCATTTTCAAGATCTATTATCGACAAAAGAATTCCTTTCGCTATAAATAAAAAGTCCGTATCTTTCATACCATTGTCTCTTGTTCCTCTATCGTTAATTGACGGCATTCCTTCTTCAACTAACGCACTTCCAATCAAACACAACAACCCGGCAATGCATTCAGGAGAGACACCGTAATCTAAAAGGGTATTTATTATATTGTTTTTGGTATTTTTAGGACATAATTTAAAAAGGCAGGCATCCTTTTCATTCTTTTTATAAGGTCTTTCAAGTATTTTAAAAAGTTCTTGGTAATCTTTGTCATGGTATTTTTTATATGCATCTCCCAGAATATTACAGAGATTTTTATGAATTTCCGATTGATTTTTTATTTTTGCAATGCTGAGACCCAAAGCTATCAGACTAAGTGATGTAGTTATTGTGGTTATAATTGGATTGGTAGCAAACCCCATTACCCCTACTCCTATGGATTTAGTAGATACAGATAGAAAAACTGGTGAAATATTACAAGATGCAACAGCCGACACAAATTTTATAACTGTAGCACTAGCACTAGCAGCAGTTATTGCTACGCATTCAGTTTTAGAATTGGAATCTTTTGCCAGCAAATCTCCTTTATTAAGTGTGTGATACAAGACTGACTCTCCACTGTCTGCTTTGAGTCTTAATGTGGAAATTATTCTTGCTATATCCTTACTAATAGAATTTTTGATAAAACGTTTTTGAATTAACGAAATACTCTGATCCACTGTTTTAGTTACGTTATTGGAATTATTTTTTAGCATGATTTTTGATGTAAAGGTATTTTCATTAGAATCTTTAGAATTACTAACTTCGTCAAATAAGTCTTTTGCATCGAGTAAATCTTTTTTGCGTGACTTGCTGAGAATTCTGTAAAATCAAGTTAATTACCGATAAAGCATATAACTGAGATTGTAGAGAACTATCGGAGTTATATAGACATAATGCTATATTTTTTCGTAATTTTATTTGACTTTTTAGTAACTTGTCTCTTTCCGCAGTCTCGCAGGCGATTTTATATTCACCATAGGCTAATTTTGCAATAGTAATGCTTGAATCCTTCAATTCTTCAGAAGAAATGTTCTCGAGATCTTCTTTCTTTAATAGGCTTAGTTTATCCCATTGTTTTTCGCATGCATTACGGTAATCCATGCTTTTCTTCAAAAACTCATCTCCTTTTTTTTCATGAAAAGAGCTAATTTTGCAATAGTAATGCTTGAATCCTTCAATTCTTCAGAAGAAATGTTCTCGAGATCTTCTTTCTTTAATAGGCTTAGTTTATCCCATTGTTTTTCGCATGCATTACGGTAATCCATGCTTTTCTTCAAAAACTCATCTCCTTTTTTTTCATGAAAAGACAGTTCTTCATTTTTTGGGACCTTTTCTAGGTCAGCCAATAGACTGTCTCTCAATTCTACGCTAATTTTAAAGAGCTCATTGCCTAGTTTTTTATATTCATTACACAGTGTATATGGACCTTTTAACAGACCAGTTTTAGAAATGAAAACACAAATTGAGCTCCTTATAGCGATTATTGATTTCTTTTTTTGTAATAACGTCATTCCCAAATAAAATTTTCTTTTTATCTGAAGATTTTAAAGTGTCTGATATAAAATCTATTTGTTTCGAATAAGATGCTTCAACAGTAAATATCTTTAAATAAGACAATGCATCAATCTGTTGTTCAAATTCAGGTTCATCCGATGCATTAATAATTAATTCATCCATTAATAAATGTAAGCAATCATTGATATGGATAATTTGTTTATAGTCTTCAAAAGTCTTGGGTGAGTTATCGAATGTTTTAAAAATCTCGTTGATATGATTAATTGCATTTTCCTCAAATCCGTTCTGAATCTTGCTTAATTGTTTCTCTATATCATTTTGTATATCCTTGAGATCTCTCAATTTAGATCCTGTAAGTAACCCTAAGTCTTTTTTATCAGGTTCTATTTTCTCAGGAACTTTTCCAAACTTTTCACGATTATTCTCCATTTAAATAAAGGTTTTAAGAGAAATTAGTTAAAATAACTAGATAAGAAAGGTGAAGGTGGCAAGCTATTTAAAATGAACAGTAAAGTAGTCGCTTTGGGTTTTAAATGCACTATGTAAATCAAATCTCTATCGCTATATCGATATGTTTAATATGAGTTTCAACTATTAATCCAAAGATAGATACAATAGTAATATTGATAAGGAAGGTGAGGGCATGTAGCAAGCTATTTAAATCAGTAAAGTAGACGTTTTGGGTTTTAAATGCACTATGTAAATCAAATTTCTATCGCTATATCGATAGTAACCTCGTAGCAAGCTATTTAAATCAGTAAAGTAGACGTTTTGGGTTTAAATGCACTATGTAAATCAAATCTTTATCGCTATATCGATAGTAACCATGTTTAATATAATTTTCAATTGTTAACCTAAAGATAGATACAATAGTAATTTAGATAAAGAAGGTACGTATCAAGCTATTTAAAATGATCAGTAAATTGGGCGTTTTGGGCTTTAAATGCACTAACTATATCGATAGTATAGTTTTTCGATAATATAATTTTCGACCGATATATTATCGCGGTATGTTTTGTACCGGCCGAAAATTATATTATCGAAAATTATACTTTTATTTATTTATTATTTATACCAGGAACGGAGTGATATTGAAAATTTACGTAGTGTATGTAGAGATGGGTTTCATGCATGCGCATTCATGCGCATGATTCGGAATCATGTGCATTTTATCCATATAAAATTTATATAGGAAAAATTAAAGTATATTTAATTTAGGCAAAGTGTATAATGCCAGGCAAAATTAAGAAATAGGAATGCAGAACATAAAGATGAGAAAGGTCGGGGAAAAAATTTTGGCAAACATCGATATTTTCCGGAGGGAAATTATAAAATCAAAAAAAATTATATCATGCGATATCATGCGCATTTTATATAACATGCGCATTAATGCGCATTTTTCCCATCTCTAAGTGTATGGTTATACGGCAAATTAAGTGATGTTCGTACGCAAAATCTTGCATATGATTGGATAATGAATGAGGCGAAGCAATGCATATCAAAAAGATCGCATGTTACATTTTCACATCTATTGTAACGCTTACCTCCTATATCCTAACTTTAAATCTTTATGATTAGTTGGAGATTAAAAAACTTTTTTTTTCTTGGTGAAATAATACGCTGTATGTTTGCATGATTTAATCATTAATCATTTAATCTAAACTTATCGTGTATTGATAAATTAACTTTATATTATGGCGGAGTAAATATATTAGTTATAATACCATAAAGCGTTCTTGATATTAGATA